AGGAGTTGGTGTTTTTTCCTCCTCTTGTCAGTTTTGGCTGTCCTGATAGAAGGCGGGAGAAGAGTTGGAATGTATCACTGTGATGGACGTGCGTGAACAAATTAAGACCACAGTAGATTAAGTATTGTAGGTGATGGTAAACATTGGGGATGAGCGTTGGTCTGGATTACATCTCTGCTGCGTGAATAACTATAGTAAACTTCTGTTGACAGACACCTTCCAACCAGGTTTATCTGTATTAACAGCTGGTAAAATCTAGTTTCACCAGTCACTTTGATTATTTTTTCTGCTTTATTACGTGACTAGAAGTTAACAAAAGAGTTGCTGGACTATGACTAAAAAACGCAGGTGGCTGGGGCGGAAGTAAACACAAACGATGTTGTCATTAATGGCAGAGATAATTGTATTGATGTTTTACCTTCTGTGGGCAGCTTCTTGCAAGTTCAGCTCAGCTTTCTTGCTTAGGTATGCTGCAGCTGACTGAAATGGCATATACATATGTGAATTCATGTGCTAGGGTGGGGAGGGGACAGTCAACCCACTAAGGGTTAGTGCTACCCCACTAAGGGGTAGCATTGCAGTTCTGCACTCAATCTGAAAAACAGCTCTGACCAGTGTGAAAGGTCAAGCAGCTGAACAGAATTATAATTCTAAACCATGCAAACAGCAGCAGTGAAACTGGATTTATTAAATAAGTGATCCTATTTTCAGAATCACCCTGGTGTGCTAGCAACTGGAGTTGCTGGCAAGCTTGAGTAGATTAGCTCCACCCTGTCTTTGCTCCCCATCTTCCTCCTGTTTGACCTCTAGAAGACTAAATAAAAAGAAACCTCTCTCACACAAACCATGCTCTTGCTAGGAAAAGATCAAATCTTCATCTAAAACAAACTCCAGTGATGTGACAGCTGTTTGCTGTTTCCTTGCTGTTTATGCTTGCCACGTGCCATGGTGCTCATAGATCAGGTTTTCAAAGTGCAATTTCTCCAACCTGTGTTCCTGCCCTCTGTACTCAGGGGTGGGGTTATCACAGTGTCCTCAAATAGAAGGGACTACAGTGATCCAGGTGCTCCCGCTGTTCTTGATACAGCCCACCGAATGGACAGGAAAAGGATATTTTTCTTCTTTTCCTTACAACATTCAAAAAGTGGTTGCTCCATCAGTTGAAGCTGCAGAAAATAACGTGCCTTTAAGTAACGTTAATTCCTCTCAAATCATATATAGCATATTATCTTGAGGAGTTAAAGATGTCGATTGTAAGCTAACAGCCAGATGTGACGCGGCCACTTCCAGGCCATGGTACCGTGGGTGCTGGAATCGGAAAAGGAGTGCTCTTGGATTTTTCGCATCTTTGCTGATCTCACAGTTACTGTGCATAGAGGTGTCTACAGGATTTTCACAGTATTCTGAAATCCCAGAATAATCTTAGCTTTGTTACGGGTTAGCTATATCATAGACTATAGCACCCCATAGAGAATTCAGAAAACTTGGACACAGGGTTTACAAGAAGCTTCTTGGACCAACTCCTTAAATGTAGGATTGGAAGATAAAACTGACCCTGACGTAACTGGTGCTGCAAAAGCATTTTAAAACTGAAGTCATGTCTGCTCCTAAGACAGACCAAAGCCATATCCCAGTGTTCTGCCTGCTACTTGGTGTAGCTCCTTTTATTGCAATTTATAGAGCACTTGTTTTAAACAAGCAAATAATTTCGTCCTGTCATAGAGCATAAAAGCTAAATACTGTTTTGAGGGTGGCACAAGGCTGGGTACTATCATCATGCCATTTCTAGATCTCCTAGTGCTGTTTTGCACAGGAGTCAGGATGCATCCCTGAAACTGTTTAACAACATGACTGTTGACATTACCTTCTAGAACTCTTTAGAAGTAGGCATTTCTTATTGTGCGTAATGAGTAAATGCTAATACTTCGTATTTTAAAATAGTCTTCTGACTACCTAGAGGGTTAATGAAAATGATTATTAGTTTTGTTCCTTCTTTCCAGATGGAAATGTCTGAAGATGATATCAATATGGAAGAATACCCCACTGAAATTCATGAGTATCTCGCTGCATTTGAAAAATCTCTCGTTTCTGTAGATGAGATGCTGGAGACAATGATGTCTGTTTCCAGGAGTGAGCTGCTCCAAAAGGTAAATCTTACTTTTGACAATGTTTTTGTTATTAATACAGGAGCACCTGGGAACCCTGCCTTAAATAAAGGGGCCTCTTAGGCTAACTCTGAACAGACAACAAATATGACACTTCTTACCCTTGATACCTAATATTTGAAATTCTTACACTTCTAGGATATCCAGAGGGTCTTAGAAACTAAACAATGAAATGTATGCTCTTCCAAGCTGAAAAATGATGACCCTAGCAGTGAGTCATTTAGGTAAAGGGCATTCTAGCTCATTAGCCTTCCTGGAGGTGCATGCTGAACGTTTTTCCAGAATAGATAGCTCATTCACAGTTTTGTCTAAGGGGCCTTTTCACAATGAACTTCATGGAATTCAGTTTACCCAGGAAGGATGTAAAGGTGAATTGGCATCAGTGAGAACGGATCTTCTGATTCCAGGAGTCTAGACTTGCAGAATTTGGTGCTTGAACAATTGAGCTGCCCCCTCTAGCTATGTTATAAGCAGAAGTCTGTAAAACATGTTTTTTCCGGACATAAAGACAGAGCAAGGTACTGCCTATAGACCTCATGCAAGCCTCTCCATCTTTAACGTTTAGAACTGGACATGTAATTTCTTTCTTTGGAGCAAGAAAAAGCTAAGACTTAGAGAAACTTTTTTTATCCTCTGAGGATTTCTAACACAAATAAATTATGAAGAAAACAGTCCTGACAACACCAGTCTTTTGACAGTATCCATGTTAGAACTAGGGAGCTGTACAATGATGTTATCAGAGTTTCTGGAAATCCTATAGGACTAAAACAATAAATTGACTCTGACAGTCAAGGGGGGAAAAAAAAAAATCTCATTACCTTTCTTCTTCCTTTGCTGTACAGCCCTAAGTATTCCAGCATGCATTGAACACATGATCTGACATGTACAGTGTTCATGTTCATTGATAGTAGCAAACTATACTTATATTTGAACTTCAATCTTTAGGAATTTTTTTTTTCTTCTGATGATAGCAAAAAACTATTTTGAATTAAGTTTTTGTGGGGGAAAAATAGGCACTTCTTCCTGGCTGTTGGAACAGTAGTCAAAAGAACAACGTGCTAAGAGATTTTGTGCTTTTGGCCATATTGGACTGTGACATTTAACATGAAGCTGGGAAAACGACATGAATACTTGGACAGGAGGAGATCGTTCTGTGATGGCAGGGAAGCAGGCATAGACATGGTCTCAGCGAACTTCTGTTGCAAAAATATGCTTGTTCAATTTGTATTTTTTACAAATATGTTCACACACAATTATAAAACGTGCATACTGCTGAATCTGTGTATGTCTTGCTTAAATGTGGCAGGAAATGATTTTTTTTCCCCTCTATTTTAGTTAGAGCCTCTTGAGCAAGCAAAGCTGGATTTGGTTTCAGCCTATGCCTTAAATTCAATGTTCTGGGGTGAGTATGTGGTAGGAAGAAAATGCAGTATTTATCATGGTCGTTTGAACAGTAGTTTCTAGACAACTGCAAATGTAAAATAATCATATTCCATAGCCAAATAATAAAAAACTTGTAGTTACCCCGAGAACCCAAATTATAGCTCTCCTTAAATCAGGGTAAGTGATGCTGAAATTCCAAATCAAAAATTGGTAATTACATATTCTGATTTTTATGTACATGCATCAGGTTGTTCCTTTTTTCCTTAGGAGCCTTTTCTATCCTTCTCATAGGGACAGAAAATCTAACCATGTTAGATTGTTAACTGCAATATTTGATCAGAAAAAGTTGCAGTAGTTTCAAATGTTATGCGGTACGGGTAACTTATTAATGGTGTTATGTGGAAACTACAGTCTGCCTATGTGACTGATTGTTTGGGCCCTCAGTCATCACAGCCTTCAATTCAATAAAACATGTTTTCTTCTCGTAGTGTACTTGGCTACTCAGGGAATCAATCCAAAGGAGCATCCAGTGAAACAAGAACTGGTAAGGTTCTTGCCATCTTTGCATTGCAACATTGTACTTACTCAGGACACTTAACTCTTGTATAAGTAAACACATATTTAAATCTGCATTTAAAAATGGATGTGTTGCCATACTAGCCCACATACACTGCGTAGTGTTATATAAATGTCTATTCATATAGCCTGCTGGGTTCTCTAAATTAAGAAAGTCATATTTTTAGTTCCGAACAATACTGTTTAAAGCAAAGTTGTAGAGCCTGCTGAAATTGGAAAAGAACAAAAAGATAAATGGTGTCATCTTACCTTTCCTTTTCCCCACCTTTGTTTGAGAACTGGATTCTGAACAGAGCAGCTTTTCACTTGTGTCTGTTGAACAGAAAAATGTTACACGTCTGATAATAATTTATAACTTCCAGTATGGTGTTTTTTCTTATAAATACATGGAATCATGTTAATCTCTGAGGCTGCCTTTTCTTACTTTTGTATGACTCTAAAAGTGTAGTGTGCTTGATTTACTAGCAAAGATGGGAAAGAGCTCCCCTCCCCCTTCCAAGTCCTCCATTAATTCATTTTCTCAGCAGTAAAGAATCCAGTTCAGCAACAAAGCTAAAAGCTTTTTTGGCACCAGTTGTATGTGTATTGTCCAGTAATTCTGCATTAGTGACATATTTACAACCTATAATAAATCTTTTAGGTTTGTCTTTATATTCCATTTAGACGCATGGCTACAGTATAGAAGGTATGCTATCTTGAAAATTCTGCTGACTTTAAATGATCTGATTTTTTTTTTTTTAAGCCTGAATTAAAAATAGAAATCAAAACTTAATAGCAGCCCATTTTAATTCCTATATAAATGAAAATATTAAATCTGGGCAATTGTAAAATACTTAGCCTAAACGTAATCCTTATATAACTAGGGGGAAGAAAGATAGGGCTGAAAAATGTGTAAAGCTAGTCTGAATTACAAAAGTACTTCTATTTTTAATTCTGTGAGTTTTTCAGTAGTCTAGGCTGTACTAAAAAATAGATCAGTTAATATTTCATGAGGTTTCAGTTTCTTGCTTGTCCTAATATTATATAGTATCTGAATATTGTGTTAGCTATACCAAAAATAAACTATATCTCATCTGCTTTGGATATTTTATGGTATTTTACTTCACAATTGCCAGTGGCTTTATCTCTGAAGAGTGAATGAATTGTCGTAGGCTAGATGCTTATCCAGTTCTTTTTTCCTTTTATATGTATCAAGGTGAATGAATGCATGTCGCTTCCTTTTAAGAGCAACATGATATTTTTATTATTCCTGTGGAAGAGGCTTAAAAAAGACTGCTCTGTTGCAATTTCTTTGTTTTTAGAATGGCCGTTCTTGTGTACATACAGGGAATGCATGGGGATTCAAACTGTATTAATGAAACTCACATTGAAGCCATCAGAGTTCATTTCTTTTGTCATGTTGTTGATGTTCCTGTCAGCTCTTTTATCCGATGTTGATACATGTAGGTTTGCTATCTGTTTTCATTAGCCATCTCAGTCAAACCAAAGAAATACTATAGCATATCATGATTTCAGACACCGTAAAGCTCTCCTAGTTAAAGCTATCTTTTTGATATGGAAAAAGTGGCCAACATTTTGGAAATTGCTTATAAGCAATTGCTTACAGTTGCTTATAAGGGTGACTATAGAGAAGAAGAAAAATCAATTCTGTAGTTAGGTCTCACTACTTAAGTTTCATATTCAAAAAGTGTCAATGGCTCTGAGAAGTGTGTGGGTTACATATTACCAACATGCGCTTAGTTATATCAGTATCCATATCTGTTTCGTTAATCCACATTTATAATTCAGGTATCAGATAAAGCACTATATATGCGTAGTTGCATGCTTAATGCTTATAACGTCTTCGATTTTGTTACAGATGCTTTTTGGTTTTGCTTGGATATGCTGCTGGCGTTTTTTTTTTTTGGTTTTGTTTTGGGTTTTTTTGGTTTTGTTTTGGTTTTAAAGACAAACATGTTCTTCTATAAATATTTCAAATATCCATTGAAATAACTGTGAGTTCCTTTTGCCATCTTTATTTAGGCCAAACTCCAAACTGAGTTAACTATTTCGCTTTTTTTAATTTTGCAAGTTAAGAACAATTCTCTTGGCTCACTGTAAATTAGATGAAGTCCTATAGAGATGGAGACTCTACATATTCTTAAGACAGTGGATGTTGTACAGATATTAGTGCAGTAATTACCTGTGATGGAAAAATCTAAAAGGGAAGCCTCAAGTTTGCAAAGAGCTTCTCATAAATTTAACTGAAATCTTTAAATTCAGATACTATTTTTCTGTGCATAATAGAAATATGCAGCAGTGTGGCAAACTCATTGATTTTGTTTTAGCGGCAATCTTGGGAGAACAATATGAAATACATTGCACTTTTTTTCTTTCTAGGAGAGAATAAGAACGTACATGAACAAGGTCAAAGAAATAGCAGACAAGAAAAAAGCATCCAAACTTGATAAAGGAGCAGCTTCTAGATTTGTAAGAAACGCGCTCTGGGATCCAAACCCTGAAAATGAAACTATCTCCAAAACTCCCGCTAAAGCGAAAAAGAGAAAGATGGACTGAATTTTTATATGAATCAGAGTGACTAGAATTTTTTAAATGTGTTTCATACACTATATGCGTCTTGTAGAGGTGCAGTATAGCAACGTTTTGATTAGGTTATACTGAAAACACTTTTACAGGTCTGTATTTTGTCCAGAACACTGGTCACTGAGGTCATCACATTATATGTATATCTGAAAGTGCTTTTTGATGCTAGAAAATTAACACTTCATTCTCCAATTGATAATGAATATCTTGCTGATAACATATAGTAGGTCTGTTTTGCCTAAGAGTTTCTTTTCTGTAATGCCTAAGCATTTTCTGTAATGCTTAAGAATTTTTTTTACTGATGAACGATTGACAAAATTTTTACATGTATTTAATATCCTAAATATTAAAGCAGTATCAAACAGTGCTATCCAGTCTGTGTTCTTTATATAAGAGCCATGTTTGCTTTTTTTCATAACATTGTTGCATGAAATGCTGTATTTGTAGAGCTGGGTAAGACTTGCTCACTCTGTTAAACAGTTTCCTTTTCAGCTTCTGAGCTTAAATGCAAGCCATATATACCCTTACTTCTGTTGCCTTTGAGAAAACAGAGCTTCAAGGACCACAAGAAAATAGCCAGAATTCCACTCTAATCCCCTGTGTCTAGTCAGTGGAAAGAGCACATACCTCTGAAGGGTGATCTATAGGGCCAAAACAAAGGAGCAGTTAGGAAATAAAACATGCAGGAAATCTGTTGGAATTTTGGCTGACTGTACTTATCCCTTGCTGTTGGCACTAATAAGATGGAGAAATGTGCTCTGAGGTGAGGGGAATGCGATCATCCATTGTTATCCCCAATGAGGGTTTCAGAAATAGCATTCTCTGGTGCAGTAGGAACTACTATTCTGTGTTGCAAATACTCCATTTGTTTTCCTCAAAAATGTGAGGCTTTGTCATTTAGGCGAGGAGGTGCGTTAGTTTCTTGGAGAGACCCCCCCCCTCCCCACTTTAAGTACACTGCAAATCAAAATTCAAGTATCAAACCAAAAGCTGTCTAGCAGTTAGCAATGCCCTAACTAATTATGAAGAAAAGATAAACAGTTTAGTTCACCAGAATACGGTATGGGTACCAATCTGCAAACAAGCTTGGGAAATGTAACTAGTGTGAAAGATCTAGACCATACTAAATCGTTAATTTATAGTTTAATAAATTCGTTACGTCTATAATACCACAAGTTGAATGATCTGCAATGGACTAGTCCTGATGAGGTGCTAAAATGAAGATTCATCATTGGCAACTCAAAAATACATATTTAAAGGTAAACAATAAATGGACAAGTTCACTAAAAATAATCATTGTGCATCTCTGGAAACTTTTCCAGTGATAGGAATGAATTTACACATTTCTGTTTAATAAACTCCTTGAACAAATAGTAATTCCTTCGGTCCAACTAAAAAAAATCTTGCACGTGTAATGTTCACATAAGCGCATAACTTTGCTGCTGCAAACTGCAGGACTGCTCACATGAAGTATGCATGTGAAAGGCCCATAAACATTTGCCAGATGAAAGCTAAAATGGAGAACGCCTCTTTCCTATGTGTTAATGTCACACTTACGCTTAACAAAAGTGCTGTTAGAAGTCTTTTTCTTAGACTTCAGGTTAAACCTGAGAAACCTGACAGGTGTTCGTGACCACAGGCAGTAGTACTGTTGTAAAGCAAATCTTGGGAGTGCTCAGTTGGTTTGGACAGAGTTTATTGGGAAGTCTGTGCATCCTGTCATGTACACTTTGAACATGATGCTGCAAATGATGGCTTCTGACTATTATAAACGGACTTCTAGATTTTGCATGGATATAGAGGTCTGCATGTGCAAAGCTTCGTGTTTGAAATGTCAGTCTCAAAACTATCAAGTTTTACTTCTGTGTGAGATGGCAGATCGTCGTATAAGAAGCAGAGGTCTGCACAGACCTGGGCTGATGCGCACATGTTGGATCACTTAACAGTTGTCCCTAGTTAATCCCTGCATTAAAAAAGCAGCCTCTGAACTAACAGGGAAGACAACAGGGTAAAAGCAGTCTGAAGTGGCACAAAAAGCATTTGTGTATAGATGTTCTGGAAGGTAAGGTCTTAAACTTCTAGAGGCGAGGCCTTGTCTTGAAGAAACAAGTAGCTCAGCATACGTTTTACGCACAGGGCTGGTCCATTAAAACAGAGTTGCAGGATGCTTCCATTGCATTATTCTCCTCTTATGCTGCAGTCATAACCTTTGTTTTAAAAGGATAATTTCTAAAAAGGACCATAATTCAGTGTCCAGTAAAGTACACATTGCACTGGTAAATGTTTACGCAAGACTAATTTGAGGCTATTAAGAGTACAGAGGTAGCAGTCAGTCTTTGGTATAATTAACTATATATGGGTAGTTGGCATTTGTTGTAGGGCAGTTGATATGTACGTAACAAATACAACTTGGTAAAATTTTAAGGCTTGTAACTTCAGTGTGGTTGTTTTGGTAATTAAGGCTGGGTTTGTGGCTTTTCTTTTTTTAATAACAAGAAAATAACCCAGACAAATCCCCCACAAACTGGAGAGCGACACCATGTGCATGTTGTTCAATAACAGTCCTGTTAGAAAGAGGCTTGAAATACAAGATCATGAGTGCTAACTGCTTTTTATTTTTATTACTGAAGTGTTTTTGGAACATCTAGACTTCAAGATAGGTGTTTAACTTTACTGAGGGCTCCAGTATGAAGTAACTTGACCAAAGATTGTTAGTGCAAGTTCCTCCCTGGAAAAGCTACGTGAGTACTGGAATGAAAAATACCTCACAACTTTCCTGTCTCAAAATGGGAGATCGTTGATAAGACTGTTTCTTGTAGCGGCTGCATGCGTAAAACGGGCATAAGCCATACTTGTCAGAACAACTCTACAGGCAATGGAGGGCGGGAGCACTGAAAGAAGGGAAAACAGCCGGGTGCTTTCTAGTCCCATTGCTGTATGTGCTGAAGTAAAGTGCAGTAATACCAATTTTGCACTCATACATGCTAGCATGCAAAGAATTGCCATTGTAGTAGTAAATTAGTAGTATCAGTAATTGAAAGCATTAATGAACTTAAGATATTTAGAGAGAACATTAAGATGTGTTTGGCTCCTCCCTGCTTTATCTGGATATTGCTAGAAATTTATTAAGGGGTAATTAATATTAGTTAGAAACGGAACCTAAGAGAAATACTAACAAAATTGCTGTTGCTGACAATATTTTTAGCTAATGCAATGAGAAAAGCGTGCAATACATATTTTTACCATAAATAAGAGTATGTAGTGGGACTCACTAGAGGCTGATCAATTATATCAGAATTAGAGGGTTTTGTGTTCAAGTTTTTAACTTTAAAAGTGAAAATAGTGTCAGTATTTATTTTGTCAGTTAAGGCTGTTAATATTAGCTGTTCTTGTGACCTTTTTTGCTTTCTAGCCTTTGTCCCAAGAAGGTGATGATACAGTTTAGAGTGCAGGAGGTTAGCAGCCATAAATGGAATTTGATACAAGGTTGCTTGAGGAATTTCCCAAGCTTACCAAAGAAAAACTTTAAAAGAGAAATGAGAACAACTCAATTTTTTTAGGCACGCTCGTGGTAGCATTAAATAGCTACATTAAAATAGCAAACAGCTCTTGGGGGCACCAGGGAGGCTCTGTGCTTGGCTTGGTTTGGAGTTCATTATATGGAGGCGGTTTGACTCGATCTGCTTTAAAGTCATTGGGGGATTTTCCACTAATATTAATGGGCTTTGATCCTTGATTTAGCTTGGCAGTAGATAGCTTCATTGAACTACTACAGTTGGATGTGAAAAGTAAGTTATCAAATTGATGGCTCAGGATTTTGCAGTGAGTGTCTGGCCTACTACTCAAAAGTATTTTTTGAGTCAGTGAATCATCTTTTTAGATGCATCCTGAACTATCTAATGAAAGGTTTTTCCCCCTCCACCTGTATTTCTCAAAGAATGTCACTGGGAGAATAACCCAATGTCATCAACTGTCCCAACGGTGTAAAGAGATTTTAGCAGCATAAAATGGAAGTCTCTGGAAGTCTTCTCTTCCTTAGAAACTAGAGTTCACTCCCAGCTGTGTAAAGTTGCTACAAGTCTACTCCTAGAAAAAATCTCTCTCTAAGGCAGAGGGTTTACTGTGGTTGCAAGCAAAGGAGGAATCATACTAGAACTTAGGATTCCCGCTCTTATAAATACTAGCCATGAGTACCTGGGAAGTCAACACATTACTGGTCAACACATTTCCACTGCTTCAGTATCCTGCTGTCAGAGAACTGCTGCTGCTTTATACGAAAGTGGGTATTTTATTAAGTCATCCTTATTTTTCCTGGCTTTGAAAATCAAAACTACCATAAAGCCTTGTCAAAAAGTGTTAGTGTAACAGTTTCACTGGACATTTACTCAAAACATAGGCATATGATAAAAGTTAAAGAAGGTTCTAGTTGCCTAGGTATAAAAATTTAACTTAATAATTCTCTCAGAATTAACAAATTTCTTGCAATTAAGGGGGAGATCAAAACTCACTTATTAACTGGTGGGCTGGGATCATTACAAATGCAGGGGGAATTCCAGGTCTCTAGAGTAAATGATAGGCTTTTGGTTCTGCAACCCCAGAAGAAGAGACTTTGGTTACGTGGATTGAGGTTTTGGTCAGCTGTTAGCCACAGGAAGGCTAGAAGTCGTGAACAGCAAAATCCTGCAACTGGAAACCAAAGTGGAGGTATATTGGTGAAATATTGCTGGTTAATAATGTTTAACTGCTTTGGTGCATTAAAGTCTAAGGAAACAATAGTAAACCACTTTTGATGCAAATCAAGCTGAAAAATTAACTTCAGATCAGCTAAATATTTTTGTCATCTGCAAATCAGAATATAATTGGAGAAATGATCTTGAGGCTTTGCGGAGATATTCTCCTTCTCCAACAGACTGAATCTGGCAAACCTCAAGCCAAACTAACTTTACAAATCGGAGGGCCAAAATAACTGAAACTGGTTGCATCCTAAAGGCTATTCCCTTGTCATAAATTGAGATGTAAAAATGCCCAAACAGGGTATTTGTTAAATAGACTACACATATGTGTCTCTTACAAGTTTACTTGCATGTCATTAAAAAAAATGGATTACGCTTTAGCGGTTTAGGGGAAATAATATATAAAACAAAGTCAGTTGTCATTTTGGAATCATCTGTGACCCTTATGAGGAAAAAAAAAAACCATGAAACTTCTGCAGCGTAACACTGTAGGTGCTCTTTTTGCTAATTCGCCTTGAATGTTACTCCTTGCAGAAAGAGTTCCACAGAGTCTGGATGAACGCTTGTGTTTTGAAGATCACTTTTAGTTTTCTCGGCCAAAGTAGCATGCCTTTTTTCAATTTCTGCTCTC